GAACAATATGACAATCAATTTCTATATGTTTAGGTCTTTCATGGAAAACAGAATTCTCACCAATAGCAATGGCGGACTTGTTATCACAAAAGAAAACTGTTGGTTTGGATGGAGGAATTCCCATATCAGTTAAAAGATACCAAAGCCATTGAATTTCACATACTGCCCCAGCTAGGCTACGATATTCTGCTTCAGATGATGAACTGGAAATCATGTGTTGTTTCTTTGATTTCCAAGAAATAAGTGAATCACCTAGAAATATGCAGAACCCTTTATGGCCTTTGATTTGCTGCAAAGGAAAATTTTATGGGTTAGGGACTTGCTATCTAACGGGTTGTGGACGGCAAATTATGCTGTGGAACTGTGTCCACCTTACAAGGTGGATACAATATGTTCTAAAACGGTGTCGTTTTGGTGGAAAACAATGCCGTGTCAATTAAAAAACAAATTGTTTTATTTCCCTGTTAACGACGTTTGTGTTGGTGATAATGAACCAAAATCGATTTAATATCGTAAAATAATATTTATATATACACACACAAGTATATAAAATATTATTTGATATTTTATCCGTAATATATATATATATATACACACAAATATATATAAAACGGATACAAAGGTTATATATACATGTATATCTACGAAAAAGATATACCAATATATATCAACCAAAATTGAAACTAATAATGCTCAGATTATGAGTCCAATCCAAATAATATATCAAAAGAGAAAGAACGGATTTTTGCTTAAAAGCATAATCCCAACAAGAAAGAAGGAGAAGGAAGATAGAAGGTACGAGTTAGGCAAAGTGCCTGTCTTTCCTTAAAACCTTATTTGCCACCTCCCAAAAGTGCTAGGAGCGTTGTGGCCTAGGTTTCCCAGGATAAAACGTACAACGGTTCGACGTTTGAGCACCCAAACGAACGAACCCGGCGAGCGAGAGCACGGGCAAAAGCACAGCTTCAAGAACGGAGTAGGAGCAGAGTTTTGGAGCTGGGAAAACCAGAATTTTCTGTGTTGTGTGTGTTGTTCTCTCTGTGTGTAAACCTGCTGCTCCTACACTCTTCTTATATAGGAGTTGAAGAATCAATAGCATTTAATTTGACACTTAATGCACGATTTGTAACACCTGAAACAGCCACCATTATTTGAGTTTTAATTCAAAAATCAAAACTGGAATTAATACTGTAACAGTCCAGAACCAAACCAAAGAATGGTTCATACTTTCGTGCAGTGCCATATTTGGCCAAGGCCGAAACCAGCAGTGTGTTGTGCTGGTTTGTTTCGGCCTTGGCCGAAGCCACCAACACGAGAGGAGACTTCCTCTCGTGTTACACTGGTCTCTTTCGGCCTTGGTCGAATCCTCTCAGATCGGCCTTGGCCGAAACAAGTGACTATTATGTTGGAAAAGTATACCGAAACTTGGCATAACTTAGCCCGCAAGGCCAGCCAATTTTCGGACGACATTCGTGCCCGCGCACACGAGCTCGGGCTTGAATCAAGCCTTTTCGATCTCGTTTCTAGTTGGAATTTGATTTGCACCCCCCCCCCCCCCCGCCCCCGCGCGAGAGAGCCTCTATGCTATACAATTCTACAAGGTCCAAAAGAGCTCTTGTATAAAAGGGGGGTGAAATCCTCTTTCCAAATCAATGTGGGACAAAGCTCACTTTTCCCTTACATTTTTCCAACTCAATGGGTCTACTTTGAGAATCAATATCTCATTCACCCATTATCCGTTTTGAGCGTACAATATATCAATCTCTTCGTCTCACTACGAAGAACCCGAATCCACTTTGACCCGATCCAAATCGGAAGTGGACCCCACTAATAATTGTACCACAAAATAGCCACTTAACATGTCATTTTATGCCATTTTAATGCTATTTTTCCAACAGTTTGTCTTCTGGAAGTCTATGTCTATAATTACTGAACTCTATGTTCATAATTTTTGAACATCATATTCACAATTATTGAACTCTATATTCACAATTACAGAACTCTATGTTCATAATTTTTTAACTTCATATTCACAATTATTAAACTTTATATTCACAATTGCATAACTCTATGTTCATAATTTTTGAATAATAGAAGTCTATGTTCATAATTACTGAACTCTATGTTCATAATTATAAAACTCTATGTTCATAATTATAGAACTCTATATTCATAATTCTTGAAGTCTATATTCACAACGTCTCACTGAGTTGTTTTGACAAATTAAAAAAAAAATCTGATTGGTGGAGGAAAACAATGCCACTAACGACACTAATTACTCCAAAATTGCCAAACGACGTCGTATTGGAACCATGTCCACCTTGTAAGGTGGATACGGTTCCACGGCATAACAATTGGGTGGTGGACTGGTAGGTTTGACATTTAATAATAATAATAATTTTTACAATAAAATCGTTTTATATTTTAAATATTTAAGATTAAAAATAATTTAATGATAATAAATAAATAAAAATAATTGTAGGATTGTCATTTATTATATTCCTTTAAATTGTAATCACTGTCTTAATTATCTTCTAATGACTTTGACTAAGTTAATTTCATGGGCTGAATCGTTGTATGTCTGATCTTGTGAGTCTTCACTGTCTCTTGTAGCGTTTGAGGCTACCATCATAGTTAATTACCAAAACAGTGAATGACTTTGGTAGAATTTTTGGATTTAATCCTTAACATGTAATTTTGCGTAATTGAATCATGAACTTTACTTATTTTTTCTAATATTATCCGTAATTTCCTTTTCGCCTCCAACTACACTCTCCACCTTTGATTTTCTTGTCAATGGCAGCGTGAGAAAATGGGTAACTCCATATCTACCTATGCCTCTCACCACCTCATCAATATCGTATTTTCTCAATGACAATGCTAGAACGTAACCAAATGACAACAACCCCATCACGAATTCATAAGGTTCCCTCTAAAAACTTGAAAAATAACTTTCCGCCAATGTTGTCTGAGTTTCCAGTGTATGAATGTAACAGGAAAAGTCAGTTAATGGAAAACTTTTCCGTTGACCGGGGAAAATGAAGTCATTTTCCGCCAAAATGTTTAATTATACAATTCTACTCATTTTCCAGAAAATAAACCAAACACACCAAGTTTTCCAAAATGCAACCAAACACTGCTGGAAACGAAAATGTTTTCTGAAAAATGACATTTTCTAGAAGTTATTTTTCTTCTTTCCAAACGGACCCTAAATGATGGACAAAACATTCACACATTTTTTCTTCCGTATACATTTATTTATTTTTAATAAAGAGGTGAAAAAGAATACAAAGAGAATGGGCTACATAATCTAAGATGAACAATTTTTACGATATCAGTAAAGATTATTAGGTTTAAACTCTTCAAAGATATTAAAAAGTTATAACGATTAGGAATAATGTTTAAATTAGCCACTGAACGTTTCCGAAAATGTAATTAGGTCACTGAACGAAAGAAAAAAAAAAAAAAAAAAAAAAAAAAAGAAGTGTAATTTAGCTACTGAACACCTCAAATATATGCAATTTCACCAGATAACAGGTCACCATCCAATTCAGCAAATTACCTGCTTACGTAGCAGCTGAGTTGGCATTTTTAATTATTTTTAATAATAAATTTTTTAGAAAAATTAAAAAATAAAAAATAAAATAAAAAAGATAATATAAGGGAGAAATATTACCACCCACCCCAGCGCTTTTTTAAAAAATTCCCTTTAAAAAAAAAAAAGAAGATAATATAAGACAAAAAAAAAATTATAAATATTACCACCCACCCCAGCGTATTTTTTTTTTTAAAAAAAGTTATTATTAAAAATGTCAACTCAGTTGTCACATAAGCATGTAACCTGCTGAAATAAATGATAACCCACTACCAGGTCAAATTGCATACATTTGGAGTGTTCAGTGACCTAATTGTACTTTTTTTATTTATTCAGCGACCTAATTGCATTTTCAAGTTACATTCAAGAGTCAATTTGAACCTTATTCCTAAAGATTATAAAAATGATACATTGTTGTAGTTCACCATCCAATCTCCACAAGAGTTTGCTTCACTATACAGTAGAATTATTTGCTAATAAGGTAAAAAATTAAAATTAAAATTTCTGAAATTACACTTATTCTTCACTTTCTAACTAATTACAAACTAATCACTCTCCAATTAATCCCATCTCCCGACGTCTCGAACCTTTTGAGAATTAACTGGATCCAGCGACAAAACATTTACGTACGTGATCGATTAACAAAATGAAATGTCCTTCGAATTGACAGCTAGACTAGAAACATATGAAACCTATGATCAAACAAATTATAAATGCCTCAAAAGATGTCATTTAAAAAACAACTAGGTACAACTTCCGCTAAATTGGTCACGCTGTTAACTTCGTAACTATATACAAGTTTGACTTTCAACTGAAGCAGCATATTGACCCTCTTATAACATCCTCAATAATCCAAGATTTTGCACACTTTTTTTAGAATTAATAATCAAGTAGGAAAGAGGAAGGTTGCCGGTTGGCAACAGCCTCAACCCGCCCACGAGGTTCTACTGGTGCACTTAAGGTGTACCAATTGTAACTTCTTCTTTTTTTTTTTTTTTTGTTTCAATTTGTGGGGTCTACTTCTGGGGACAAAAAACCATCACTCATGCAACAACCCAAATCTCTCTCTTCAACACACTCTCTCCCACCTTGGATCAAATTTACTCAAAAAAACTGAGCTAAAATCCCTATTGGGAATGCTCTTAGTTTGAGCCAATGGTCAATCAAACGAGTTTATATGTTTGTGATCATTACGGACTTTCTTGTAATTCTTTGTCGACTAAGGTCACAAGACTGAGTTTTTCTCGTTAACACGTAAGCTCATTACCGAAAAATTTGTTCCCTATTTGAAGGTAACAACCCAACCCCCATGTCCATTGCATTTTCTTGATCTATCCCATGCAAATTTCTCGATTCTTTATTATATAAACCCCACACCTAAACTGCACCAACACTGCATACTTCCCTGCCAGACACCACCTTATTACCTTAAATTCAGCCGACAATTATTCCTTAATTACTCCGACAATGGATCAAAGATCCTCTTCCCACGTTCTCATCTTCCCTTTCCCAGTTCAAGGTCACGTCAACTGCATGCTCCGCCTCGCCGAGCTTCTCTGCCATGAATCCTCCATCCACGTCACTTTTCTCAATTCCGAGTTTGCCCATCAACGCCTCCTCCGTTACACCGATCTTCACCTCCGTTTCTCAAGCTACCCCAACTTCTATTTCAGAACCATCTCCGACGGCCTCCCGGCCGACCACCCCAGGACCGGCGACCGGGTCGTCGACCTTTTTAACTCCATCAACGCCGTCACCAAGCCGCGGTTCCGGGAAATGCTGTCCTCCGGGAGCCTCCAGTCCTCCGGCCGCCCGCCTGTCACGTGCATAATTGCCGACGGGATCATGTGCTTCGCCATTGACGTTGGAAATGAGCTCCGTATTCCGACCATTTTGTTCCGTACGTTCAGCGCTAGCTGTTTTTGGGCGTTTTTCTGTGTCCCTAAGCTCATTGAATCCGGTGATCTTCCATTAAACGGTATGCACATTCAAAAGATTCTTCTACCCTACCAAATATTAATTTTAAATTTCTATCACTTTTAGCTATTTCAGTGAGTTTTTATTTAAAGCTAACTTGAATTAACTATTTTTCAATGAGTTTCTAGGTGTTACTTGGTTATAAAATTCACCCAAATGACTAAAAGTGAAAAAAAAAAAAAAAAAAAAAATGTTGAAATGTTATTGATACCGAAACAATGATCGTCAAAGGACAGAATGGTAAATAATTGTTAGTTGATTGGATTAGTGGATTTGACTAGTTGATAGCATTAGTTGATTGTATAAAAGTGTCTGTAAATTAATTGTTAGCTGATAGCTGATTACAATGCAAAATGATGACTTTTTTAAAAAACTAATAGAAAATTTTAACATTTTGGAGCAATAAACTATTACAAAAAACTAATTAATCAAACACTCATATTAATTATTTAACCAAATCAAATAACTAATAGTGATTAAATAAACTAAAATTAACTTATAAACTAACTATATTACAGAAGGCCAAAATGGTAACAACTTCAAAGTAGGACTAATACTTGAAAACAAATGATAGTCAATAACTATATAAGTGAAAATGTCAGATCACAAAAGTGGAATTGCTAAAAGTGAAAAAATATTCTTGGTGTTTGGATTTGACTCGTATTAGTGGTGATTTCGGTTTGGGTTGGACTTATTGTATTTAAAAATGTACATTTTGGTGTTAAATTTTTAAATTAAATTGGTTCGATTTATCTTTTTACGAGATCCAAGATATAGTAGGTGAAAAAGAAAAACTGGAGTTATAAAAAATTTAATTGAAACCGAACATATTATTCAATTAGGTATCTGAATAAGGCTTATTTTGGATTGGAATTTGACGTTATGCAGGAGAAAGTGACATGGACAAACTGCTAGAAAATGTGGAGGGGATGGAGAATGTTCTTAGGCTACGTGACCTTCCGAGCTTCTGCCGGACGACCGATCTGTCGGATCGCGGGTTTCTGTCGGTGATTTTAGCGACCCTTCGGACCACAAGAGCCAACGGCCTTATACTCAACACCTTCGAAGACCTGGAAGAATCTGCGTTGGCGCAAATCCGCAAACACATCCCAAATCTATACACGATTGGCCCCCTCCATGCCCACCTGAGAGCTAGGGTTTCAAGCTCCAGAGGAGAGCTGCCATGGCGATCCTCAAGCAGCCTGTGGGAAGAAGACCGGAGCTGCATGGCGTGGCTGGACGAACAACCGTTAAAATCCGTTGTCTATGTTAGCTTCGGAAGCATGACGGTGTTGACAAGGAACCAGTTCTTGGAGTTCTGGCACGGGATAGTTAACAGCGGGAAGGCGTTCTTGTGGGCGATCCGGCCAAACTCCGTCATCGGAGACGACAACATCCCGGCGGAGCTGATCGAGGGGACCCGGAAGAAAGGGTACATGGTGGGGTGGGCTCCCCAGGAGGAAGTCCTGGTCCACCCTGCTGTCGGGGGATTCCTGACCCACAGCGGTTGGAACTCGACCCTCGAGAGCATCTGCGAGGGCCTGCCGATGATCTGCTGGCCGTTCTACGCGGACCAGCAGGTCAATAGCCGGCTGGTGGGGGCGGTGTGGAAGAACGGAGTGGACATGAAAGATACGTGCGACAGAATCACGGTGGAGAAGATGGTGAAGGAGTTAATGGAGGTGAGAAGAGATGAGTTCACGAAATGCTCGAACCGGATGGCGAAGTTGGCTAGGAAAGCCGTCACGCAACATGGATCTTCCTACAGTAACTTGGACCGATTGGTTGAGGATTTAAAGAAGATGAAGCTGCAACTCTAATATATACACTTCCTTAGCTTGTGGTGTTTTAATTCATTTGCTTTTGAATGTTATGCTGATTTTAATAACTTTTTTTTCTATAGTTATTTCATAGCATTATATTTGTTAATATGCAACTGAAAGGATGACACTTTGTTGTACAAGGATTAAGACATTTTAAGTTTCTCATATCTTGAAAAATAAATTTATACATATAGTAATTCATTAATATTGTATCGGATTGTTCAATTCACAACATATATAGTTTCAATTCTGTAATGTGTGTGTGTATATATATATATATATATATATATATATATATATATATATATATATATATATTTAGAGTTAATTACATTTTTTGTCCTAAATTTATAAGTGATAGACCACTTTTAGTCATTTTTATAGGAACATCTACATTTGGTCCTAGTATATATTATTGTTGCATGACCAATTTTGATCGTCTATCAACAAAACAATTTTAATGCAGTTAAATACAAAGGAATTTTGGTCTTCAATTACGATTTTTTTTTTTTTAAATAAACATAAAAAAATAGCGGGGTCAACTCACCTTGTATAAAAAGAATCGAAATGTCTTTATATTTAACGACATTTCAACGATTTTGCTGACGGAGGACCAAATATATAATGATCATACTACAATAATACTATGACCAAATGTAGATATTCTGATAAACAAAGACTAAAAGTGGACTACCACCTATAAATTTAAGACTAAAAATGGGCCTGCATGGGCAACTCAGCTTGTCATAGGGGTGAAGTTTGGAAAGAACTTCTCAAAGTGAGGGGCTCCTTGTGCGCAGTAAACAAAAGTCTAGCCTCTGGTTCAGCTGAGTTACCATGATTTACATCCTCACATATGCTCTGTCGGGTCGGAGTGTTGGAGGCTTTGGTGTTGAGAATTCAACCCTTAGGGGAGAAGAAGACTAAAAATGAAATTAACTCATATATATATATATATATATATATATATATATATATATATATATAGAGAGAGAGAGGAGTGATCACATGTGGCCATGTTGTTAGGTGTGGTCATATGGTCAATTATAGACCATTAGATTAGATAGATCTAATGAATCATATTAATCAAGATTTTTTCAGTATTTTCGCGCATATTTTCCTACCCAGCGAACTGTAAGGGTAAACTTGTCATAAAACACCGGAATAGGGAAAATCACATTGTTGTGTGTTTTATTACACTATTGGTGCATGTTGTCAACACTGTTGGTGTATTCTGGAACCCGACCGCTATAAATGGCCACTGTAATTAACATAACACGGGAATACACCATTGGTGTGTTTCACTGTGGTGTGTTTTATTACACTATTGGTGTATTCTGGAACCCGCCTGCTATAAATGATCATTGTAATTACCATAATACCCCCACTTACTAAAACGCGCGAAAATCCTCAGAATTACCACTGCCTTTAGATTAAACTGATTCAACGACACAGATACAACCACACCTAATGACATGACCACATATGAGCGTTTTTCTATATATATATATATATATATATATATATATATATATATATATATATATATATATATATATAGACTTAATTCCACCAGAGATCCATTGTCTTTGGTGGCAATTCCAAATTTAATCCCAGACTATCGTTTTTGCCATTTAACACCCCAAACTATTAGCTTTTGAACACTTTTAGTCCTTCGCATGACTTTTCCTATTTTTTGTAAGAGTATTTTTGTCTATTCATATTTTTCTTTTGTTTTTTTTTTTTTTTCCAGTTTCAACCTGTTTAATTCGTTTAGAACTTTAGGTAACCTCTGATTTTTAGTAACCAATTTTTAGTAAATTCCTAAACCAATTAAATCGGTTGAAACAGGAAAAATAACAAAAGAAAAATATGAAGAGACAAAAATGCCATTACTAAAAATAGAAAAAAATGTGAGGACTAAAAGTATCTAAAAAATAATAGTCTGGGGCGTTAAATGGCAAAAATAATAATCTGAAATTAAATTTGGAATTGCCGTTAAAGACAAGGAATCCTTGGTGAAATTAACTTTATATATTTATAATACTAGACTAGACACGGTATACAAATATGTAATATATATTTTTTTAAATTTATTTATAATAATTGGCACCGTATATATAGGATGTGATAAAATGTTATGCACGCAAAACAAGAGGATAAGCATTTATACTCTTACATGAAAAAAAAAAAAAAAAAAAAAAAAGATAAGGGTCAAATAAATCTTCAAATTATACTGATTTATGTAATGAGAGAATTACCGATTTGGTCCCCCAACTATGAGGATTTCACCAATTTAGTCCTTGACTTTCAAAATTCTTCAATTTCGTTCTCGACTATGCTAGTTTTACCCAATTTGGTCCTAAGGGTTAATTGTTGGTCAAATCTAAAAGGGCAATTCTGGGATTTTTAAAAAAGCATCTTCGTCTTCCCAGGTCCCACATTGTCCTTCCCATTGGTCCCCATTGAACAGAGAATATAACCTAGGTTTCCACTTTATGCATAAAAAACTGGGCAAAAAGAACAAAGAATATAACCTAGGTCTCCACTTTATGCATAAAAAACTGGGCAAAAAGTTGCAATAAAAAACCCACCCAAGAATACATATATCGCATAAAAAACTGGGCAAAAAATGGCAATTAAACACCCACCCAAGAGTACATATATCGCATCAAACACTGGGGAAAAAAAGAAATGTTTCGTACCGGTATTGAAGTTGAAATCAGCATCATCTCTTCGTGAACCCATTACAAATAACAGCTACTTCTCGAATCGCCTTTTAGGGTCTAATTTGTTGCTTGAAACACAAATGATTTATCAACTCATTGCTCAAATTTTCACATGGAGTTGTGCGTTTAGGGTTTTAGATTTGGGAGTTCGAAAATTTGAATGTTTTGTTTGTCTGAAATAAGAGGCAAATCCTCGAATTAACTAAAGCCAACTGAGAAAATAAACAAAACAATGTGCAATTACAAAAATATCCTCAGTTATATTGCCTTAAACAAGCTAGTTTGACTTTATGACCAAATTGGGTAAAAATGACATAGTTGAGGACGAAATTGAGAAATTTTAAAAGTCGAGGACTAAATTGGTGAAATCCTCATAGTCGAGGGACCAAATCGGTAATTTTCTCTTTATGTAATTAAGCTCTTCAACTTCAAAAAGTTTCAATTAGAACCTCAAATTCACTAAAAAAGTGCAATTAACACTATTTTGCAGGTTGTCTTCAAGTTACCTATCAACTACTTGGTGATTGAATTTTCCGTATTGATGTGGCTTTCACATATTTTTTAAAAAATAATATAGAGAAAATATCAGCCAAGATCCCTCAAGTATAGTAGTTCCACCACCTATGGTCCTAAACTTTCAAATCAACCCTTCGTGGGTCATCAATTTTCAAAAATGACATGCAATAGTCATGCCGTTAATGTTTCCCGTTAGAGCCGTTAAATGCGAGGGCATTATAAACCTTTTACAATTTTCTCACCCAAATTAATTCATTTCCCGTAAGACTTTTTCTCCGAGCACCGGAAAGCCTTTCAGGGCAGCCCCCGTATGGAAATTCGGCAATGGAATGATGGACGTTCCAATCCCCATAAAAGCTAGCTCAGGTACTTTCTTCTTAAGATTTAGTATTTTTCCTTGACTCCCTCGAAAATATCCCAATTTAGGGTTCTTTCCCTTTTTTGAACAGCCCATCCGAAGAGGTCACACGGTTGGATTTCAAGCGGCAGCGGCGGTAGTTGTGGAGTCAGGGATCAAATTCACCGGCAAGCTTCGACTTCGCCGGTGAGACAGGGTCCTGTTTCAACTTCGACGCTTGCGCCGGCACATCCATTGTCGCCGTCGTCTTGGCGATGAAGGCGGAGGTTTCTTCTTCCCCAAATTTCGAGAAAACACCAGTTCAAAATAGTGGTGGCTCTTTGTTCTATGGTTTGGGCAGTTCAATCAATTCACAATCAGATCCAATGGCGAAGCCGACGGTGGAATCGAAAATCAAGCCGCCCGCGGCGGAGCAAGCGCATGAAGATTTGGTGGGAAAGGAGGAGGTGGTGGTGAGCTCCCCGAAGATGGAATCACCTCCTTCTGCTTCTGATGAGGACTCGAAAGCAATGGGTGCTGCTTCTGTAACCACCAAACCGTGAGCGTTCAAATCCAATGATTCATCTTCATAATCTCTCTCTCTCTATCTCTCTGTGTTTTTGGAATTCACTAATTTTGCCTTTTCTTTTCTTGGATTTGAAACTCAGATGGTAGGTCAATTTCATTTTCAATTTCAAAATTGAATTTTGCCGATTACGCTAGGAGATATATTAAGGTTTCAATATCAATTTCAGAACGGAAAATGAATTAATTTGGGTGAGAAAATTCTTAAAGGTCTATAATGCCCTGGCATTTCACGGCTTTGACGGGCAACACTAACGATAGGATCATTGCGGGTCATTTTCGAAACTTGAAGAATCACGAAGGTTTGATTTGAAAGTTTAGAACTATAGGTGACAGAATTACTATACTCGAGAGACCTTGGCTGTTATTAACTCAATAATATATTATATTATATTATATTTTTAATTAATAATAATAATCATAAATTACAAAACAAATCACGGGATCGTCGTTGATGAAGATAGCAACTCAGATTCTGGCACTGGCGACGACTTGTATTTGGGAGAAGGTAAACGTAGGCTTCTCACAAATGAGGATAATGGATCCAAGTTCAGGGATTTTGGCTACCAATTCCAATGAATTTCAAGCATAAATTGTTTTATTGTAAAGCGGATTTACGTCTCTCACCGGTGCTCTTCCCGGACACAACCTCCAACCCCTGAATTTTAACCCATTTATCAACGTCAAACTTCCGGCGAACCACCAGTCCGTCAAGATCCAAAGAGCACCGTTGTTTAGAAGATTTTTTTAATTTTTAATTTGATTATTAATTAATTTAATATAGGGTAGAGGACAAGCTAGCGAATTCTGCCCTCACCCATGCGCTTGGTAATCAGACCATTGTTCATCCGTCCTCGCCAGGCCCGGTACTATCATTTTATAGGTCCGGGGCGTAGCAACAAAAATTGGCCCTACATGAAATTAATATACTCCTTTCATTCCATTTTATGTGTGTGGTTCGGTTAATGAG